AAGCAGCAAGGTCACCTATTATAATAGAGAAAGTAAGGAGCTGTAAGGGATAGATCTTCCTGGAAAGACCTTTGCTCCTTCTTTACTTCTTAAAAATGTATTTAAAGAGAGTTAAGAGTTCAGATTAGTGCATTATGTGGTAGCACAAATCTGTAACGGTTTATCAAGATAATAGAATATGTGCTTGCTTCAGGCTATTGAATAATTTTTTCCTAATTGCAAACTAGATTAAAAAGCAGTGCAAGATAATGCACAGGGACTTATCCTTTAATGGAGGGGAAGTCATAGTGCGGTTGGTGTGTGCTAGTTCTTGCATTGATTTTAGGATACTGGGACCATAAACTGTCATACTGGAGTAGCAGTTCTTGGATTGTTTTTACATTGTATTCTGACAAGCTCTGTACTTGAACTTTTTGACTCTTCAGTTGTGGGAGTTTTCATTCATTTCAAGGCTGTGAAATAGATGATAATGGCAGGTAAAATCTTCTTGCCTTAGCTGCAACAATCAGCAGGAGGAAAACCAAGTTTCTGTTTGCTGCCTTGTCTCTTGTTTTCTGTGGTTGTGTTATGTCTTCAGTTAGATTGCTTCTTAGTCTGCTCTGGCCTGGGAAATTCTTAAAGTCACTTCCACTGCTTCCAGTAAAAAGATAATGTTTGCCTAGCGTGCAGGGTCATAGAGAGTGACTTAGAGCCTTGACGTTTGCTGGATTAATGATTACTTGAGGGTACCTTGACAAATTTGTTAGATAACACAGAGACTACTTTACCAAGATGTGTCAAGCTGGCCTTTCTTTCTAATTTGGCAATTAGCTAGCATAACAACCTTTCCCCCCCTGCTCTTGTACTGTGTCTGCCATATGTCCTTTCAAAAAGGAGATCTGTTTTAGCTTCTGGTGTCCTTTGGAAAACCTGATACAGTATGTGTTTCCCCCCTCCCCCTCTTTTTGCAAATGATAACAGGGCACCTAAAACAGCCAACTGAAGTACAGTCTTCACCAAGAACCTGATGCTGCTCTGGCAATCAATAGAAGGACTTCTTCAGACTGAACATTCTCTTGAATGCTCTAGGACCAGTTTCCTAGAGCAGAACTATTTCTCTTCTCCTTTCTTTAGTTTTCAGTTGGCCATGCCTATATCATCAACAGATGCTTCTGCCTGGAAATTATGGCAACCCAGGTCTGGCTACCTCACCAGTAGACATTAAATATGCCAATGGTGGGGAAAAGTTAGGAGTTCTGGGAATGGGGAAGGTTTAAAGCTACTGTAGAATGATCAACAGATAAATGTCTTATAGTAAACAAGATGATTTATGAAAGTCAGTATAAAAATAACTCTTTGATAAAGATACAGATTTACAGGAGCTGCCACCGTAAAGAGACTATCACATGTATAGTTGCACTGTTCTAGTATCCACATGTGACCTTTCTGGTTATTTGATGTGGCCCATCACAAGAGTCTACCACCATTTCTGCCCTCTTGCCTGTTGCCTCCTTACTGTAAGTCTGCCTTAGCATTGTGATAGCCACTACCATTTTTCTTAAAAGGTTCTGTTTCTTCAAGGTTCAGTGAGAAACTGCATCCTCTCTGAGCAGAAATGAACACCTATTGCCCTAGCTTCTGCACTATAATCATTACGTCTTGCAGATATAGGGCACTGAATAAAATCAGCAAGTGGCTGCAGCATTAATAAATCAGGAAGGGTCAGGAAAGTGGGAGAGGTCTTCAGCCTTCCCTGCTTAGTAATCCTAGCCACATAAAGACTATTGGCACAAGCTGTGTCTGCATATATGTATGAATGTGTGCATGTGTGTGCAGGCTGTCACTTATCACTCCATCATGTAATGTGGCCAGTGATGCCTAAAAACTGGTCCACTCCGGTTCTGTGAAATATCTGCTAGAATTCACTGCACATTGTGATGTCACAGTATTTTCCGACTCCAACTCCACATCATTAGCTGCTGCTGATCGGGAAGTGGATGCAAAGTAATGATCTTCAGTAGCTGCTTCATATTCACCCCAATATCAAAATTTAGCTCTGAGATATCCATGGAAGTTAAACTATTATAATCTTATATCATGCAAGTAGTTTAAAACAGGCAATGAATACATCTTCAGTATTGCTGTTTGCAGCTCTGAGTTACTTAAGCAATCTTTCTTCTTTTTAAAAAAGGAATATTTAAGAAGAGGGAATACCTAATTGAAATGAAATACCAAAAGCAAGTTTATATTGATATCAGAAGTTGAAAACTTGGGCATGTGGAGTTTGGATTACTTGAGGAATTCAACTTAACATCTCCTGGTTTTTCTGTGTTAAGTTGTAGTGTGACTTAAGTAGGAGTCCTTTTAAAAAGAAACATGACTGACCCTTTGCAAAAGGAGGGATTTATGGCAAAACTCAGCATTGCTCAGTTTACTTAGAGCTATTTCTGTCATGGAAGATACAAGATATATACAGGTAGTCCTTGACTTATGACCATTCATTCAGCAACTGTTTGAAATTACGACAGCACTGAATGAAGGAACTTACGACTCATGCCTGAAGTTATGACCGTTGCAGCACCCCTGTGGTCACGTGATCAAAATTTGGGTGATTAGCAGCCTGCCTGCACTTATGACTGCAAGGGTGCTTCAACTCCCCCCCCCCGCCTATCTCTGCCCCCCAATCTCTGCCCTTTTGGCTACCCTGCATCCTGCCTTGCAGGGCGGCAAGCAGAACCGCAAGTCTCTTGTGCAGCTCAGCACAAAGCTGCAGACGCCCCAGCCCAGCTGCCCCAGGAAGCATTCATTCGCCCAGATGCCTTCTCTCCCAGTTCCTCACACCAACCTTTTGCCTTTTATGCCTAGCTGCCGCGGCCAAAGCAGAAGCGCCTTGCTGCCTGTGCTGTCTCCTTTTCGGACCCAGCTCCTCTGGCGAACATATCCTCCACATGGCTCCCCGAACCTTCAGAAGGCTGTCTTCGGAAACCTGCACTGTGTTCGCAGAGCCTTCAGAAAGACAGAGCAGGTTTTGCGCTGTCTTGGAAACCTGCCCTGTTTTCCGTAGGCTCTGCACTGTCCTCAGAAACCTGTGCTGTCTTTCCGAAGGGAGAGATGTACTTTCAGACTTGCAAGATCCTGTTACTGTAATCTTACAGTAAAGGTAGTAGTAGTACTTATGGTTGGTGCTTCTTGTCTGGGCTACCTTTAAGGGCTGACATCAGTCTTGCAAGTCTGAAAGTATCTCTCTCCTCCCTTGCCTGTACAGTCCAAGAAACCTGGGAGGGTCCCTTCTGAAATGTTTGCCACTCCCCCATTGCTTCTGCAAGCTAAGCTGCCTCTTATCTGACTGTTGTCTGCTGCTGCTGCTGCTGCTCCTGCTCCTGCTGCTCCTATTCCTGTCTCTCAAGGACATTCTCACAGACCATTACAGCACACTACTCACGGTGCACACTATTTCCCCAAAGTGCCTGTTTTAATGCTATGATAATAACATGATGAGGCAGCTGTCTCTGAAACACATGAAATCTCAATTAGATTTTGTTGTTATTTCTTTCCCAGTTCCCTCCTCCCCCTCTCTTTCTCCTATTTGTATCAACTTTACATTTTTGTTTCTTTGAAAGCCTTAATGGCTCTTTCCTTTCCTAATATAGGATTGTATGGCTTTTGAGGGTTCCATTTTGAAAGTGCCAGAAGTGAATCAGTAAACTTCTCCCAACAGCTGGCTGCTGTGTACACGCCATCCATACAGAAGAGAGGCACGCCGTAGATTTTTGTTCGCATTGTAAAGAAGTGAGAGGAAACAGGTCCTCTAGGTTGCAAGCTTCCCTCTAGGAATAGGTCTTCAGGTTTTTTACCATCCTCCCAGCCCAGATGTTCCTTAGAGCTGTCTCCATTTTGAGGACTTTATCCAAAGAAGGGGATGATAAGGAGAGCATCAGAGAACATTGCAGCCTTGTAACTAATAGATAGGCATAAACATGTAGACCTGCAGAAGAGAAAAAAGAGGGGAAGGATGCCCCCTCCCCCACTTTTGCTTCTTTAATTAATTTGGCCCTTGAGTCATTTGCTGAATGTGGTCTTGAGGCAAACAGATCTAAATTTCTCTCTTGAAAGCTTTTGAAATGTTCACAGGAATGGGGAATTCCAATAACATTCAAAAGATGGCCTATGAAATTGGGCCATATTTCTTAACAGCGAGTTCGGAAGATCTTCAGTGTTACATAAACTGTTGTTTCAATTTACAAGGCAGGCACTCTTATTTAGAGGAAACCACTAGAAAACTGTAGTACATCTTTCTTTTGGTCAGAGTTATTTATGATGGGCATTGGCTAGAAATTACACAGCAGCAGAATTATGAAGAATCCTTTATTTAAATACTGTTCTGGTCTCCATTTTTTAAATGTATCAACAAAGTAATTTACTTTTATTAAAAGAAATTGGAGAGATGGATTAAATAAGTGTTTAACATTTAAGATATTTTCTTAAGTTTAAAAATATATTTATGCCTGACACCAAACTATACTTTTGAGGGTCTTTGAATAGTTTGGTTGCTGCCTTTGTATAGTTGTTGCTGCTACTGTTTTTTAAAGTTCTTACATTTTAAAAAAATGTACAGTGTTTTATTGATCATTATATGTTAATTAAAAATATTTTTTAAAACTTGGGACAGTTATACAACCCCTTGTGCTTGCTGATTCTTGGCAACCTCTAAGTCTTACATCCACATTTTGAAAATTTCTTGACAGGAAACTCACATGTATAAGTAATGGTTTCTTAGAAGAGCTGTATTTTCCAAGTATACAATGAAATAAATATATTAATTCCCAAACTCCCATAATACATTAAAAAAAAAAAAAAAGTCCAGTGCAGGCTTTTTTTTTCTGAGTGAATTAATGCATTTTTCCTATGCAGGTATTCATAGCAGGGAAAAGGTGTATTTGCGGTGATTTCTATATCAATGAATTTAAGTGCAAATCAGATAATTTTCTTGCTCTGATTTTTTTTTTTAATTTCACAGGCCACCTAGAGATTTGGATTCTAAAGCTTGCATTAATATTGGAGACAAGGTATGGGGAAAATAAAATACAGTGGGTATGTCTGCTTGTGTACCTGTTGAGGGGACTAAGAAGGAAATTAATGAAAAAGTGAATAGAAGTGAACGAGGCAGTCCTATATGTGTCTCTCTCTCTGTGTATGTATGTATGTAATTTCTGAGTCTTGTTATTTACATTTTTATCTATTATATCCTTCATCTGCTTAAGCCAACATTCAAAAAGTTTTAACGTTTTAAAATGATGTGGGGCACTCTTACAGGCACTGAATTAACTTTCCTCTAAGAGCATCAGTATAGGTGGTCCTCAGGTTACAACCACTCATTCAGCAACCATTCAAAGTTACGATGGCGCTGAACAAGGGGGACTTAAGACCAGTCCTTGGAGTTCTGGCTGCTGCAATGTCATTGCGGTCACATGATCATGATCAACGTGTTCAGTGCCTAGTTTGCGATTACGTTGCAGCAAGCCACGGTCACATGATCGTGATTTCCAACATTCCTTGCCAGCTTCCCACAAGCAAAGTCAACAGGGAAGCCATCGGGAAGTCAGAAGTCACTCCTGCTCTTGCTGCTTTTTCGCCCACCTGCCTTCTGTAGCGCCTACCCGTGGCACCCACACACCCACCCACACTCTAGAGTGCTTGCCCAAGGTGTTCCCCCCTGGCACCTGCACCTCTTACCTGTAGATCCCACCCTCTGGCCTGCTTGCCTGGAACTCCCGCCTCTTCCTGCTTAATGATCTTCACGGTCCTGGGGTTATGGTGGCAACTGGGACTGTGGGATTGCCATTGTTAAGCAGTGTAGTCATGGGACATTGTGCTTTACGACTGCATCGCTTAGCAATGGAAATTCTGGTCCCAATTGCTGTTGTAACTCGAGGACTACTATATGATGTGTTTTCTTCCCTTTTACTTGCTGTCTGAAGAAATTATTCAGTTTTTACTTTTTTTTACCAGGGAGAATTGCAGGGTATCCAGCATTTCTTTGACAGGAACATGCCATCCATTTTTTTTTTTTAATACCCATGCTTACAGTTACTAGTTACTTTAATGCCTTGTCTATTTGTAGATAGCAGTTTCTGCAAAACTGAATTTAATCCATTGGCCTAGTGGTCATAAAAGCTGTAGAAGAAAAGGGTTTTTTCTCTTCTGAATGAAAAGCCATAATGGGAACAATAATTATATCAAAGCAAAAGATGAGGAAGGAAATCAGGTGCCTGGGAAAGATTGAGAGGACAAATGTCTGAACTGAGCTGAGGAGTGGAAGAGGGATGAGGATGGGCCAGTATCCTTTTGGGTCCCAAAGAGATGATGTCTCCTGTGCCAACCACTTCTCTAATCCAGCACAAGAAATAAAACCCATGGGCAAGATTAGGCAGACAGAACCAAACTGATTTAATGTGTGAAAATTGTTTAATTCTTTCCCTTTAGGGAAACTGTCCAAGAAAATGGAGAGTTAAGCAACCTACTTGCTTTGGCTGAATTGGAAAGGAGAGCTACCTTTTAACTCCTGATTTTGTTTTCTTGACTTTATTTCTTCACAGAACTTTGAAGTTAAAGCTGATGACCTGGAGCCAATATCAGAATTAGGACGTGGTGCATATGGGGTGGTAGAGATGATGCGACATATGCCCAGTGGGCAAATAATGGCAGTGAAGGTAGAGTAAGATTCTCTCCTGGTATGCAGTAACCACCCAAATTCACCCCAGCTGTTCTTCAGGATTTTAAAACAACAAAACACTGTATGATGCTAGCCAAGGGGGATGAGATCAGGTCAAATTGTGAACTGCAAGGAACAAGTGTAAAGGTCAAGTTTCATTCAGTTTTGAAAGCCCCAAGTAAGTAGAGTCTAGGTCATTTGTACAGTGGTGAATCATAAGTTATCTAGATCCACACACATGCAGTCATTCATAAAATTGGATCCAGTATCTGCATTATGTTCCATACATCCTGTTTCCATATTTAAAAATCAGGTGTTCCTTTACACTCTTTCTCTCTTTTGTGATCGATTGTCACACAGGAATGGGCTTTAGAAGTGATTTGTGGTTTTTTCCCTCACCAATTAACATGTAACTATTATTGTCTTTTCTAATGTTAATGTTAGTTAATGTTTTTTCTAAGCATTTGGCTGCTTCTGTCGGAAATAGTATGCTGGTGTAGATGCTTCTTAGTCTGACTTGAGTTCTGGAATAACTCTTAATTTTTATCTAGAATGAGTTGAATCTCTTCATGTTGATTCTTTCAAAATGTGAGGGAAGCATATGTGTGTATATGTAGAGGTAGTCCTTGCATAAGGAGGGTAATTGGGATTGGAATTTCCATTGCTAAGCGATGCAGTCATAAAGTGTGATGTCACATGACTGCATCACTTAGTGACAGCAGTCCCTGTTGCCATCGTTAAGCAAGGAGCACAGGTTGTGAAGGGAGAAACAGGAAGTCTCAAGTCACGGTCATATGAGGTCCTCCCTGCGGATGGATGTTGCGATGGCTGCAACTTTGTGGACTGGTCATAAGACCCCTCATTCAGTGCCATCGTAACTTTGAACAGTCGCTGAACAAGGGGTCGTAACTCAAGGACTACCTGTATGTATACACACAAGCACATGAGAATACTGTATTTGCATCTCCTTTCAACTTGGGTTGTACCAGCAGAATCAGAAATATATGAGGTGGAATATGGAAATAGGAATAGATCTTGTTTGTATACATTTTTAGTTGTACTCTGATAATTGAAGAAATACAGGTAGTCCTTGCTTAACAACCATTTGTCCAGTGACTTTTCAAAGTTATGTCAACGCTGAATGAATGGTACTTACGACTGGTCCCCCACGTTACGGCTGCTGCAGCACCCCTGGAGTCACATATTCAGAATTCAGGTGCTTGGCAGCCTGGCCTCATTTATGACCGCAGCGTGCTCTTCAACTCCCCCCACCTGCTTATCTCTCCCCCATTTCTGCCCTTTTGCCTGCCCTGCACTCCACTGCTACTGCCTACCCCTGCCGCCCCCTACTGTCCCCAGCTGACCTTCGCCATCTTCTTCCTCTCGCTGCTGATGAGGCGCAAAGGCCATGTGAGGTGTTGCAAAGAGCCAGCAGCTGCCTCAGCTGGGTGCATCTCGTCAGCAGTGAGAGGAAGAAGATGGCGAAGGTCAGCTGGGGGCAGAAGGAGTAGGTGGCGGTGGAGTGCAGGGCACCCGAAAGAGCAGAGATGGAGTCTGATAGGCAGGTGGAGGGAGTTGAAGCAGAGGCGAGTGCAGCAGGGCAAGAGAAGTGTGAGGTCCTTGCCTAACAGTGGCGCTGTCCTCGCCTAACAACCACAACCAGGACTACTGGAACTGCCTTCACTAAACAGTGTGGTCATGTGATGTTGCACCTAATAACCACTTAGCGATGGAAATTCCAGTCCCAAGTAGGGTCATTAAGCAAGGACTAACTGTAAGTTTTTTATGTGGGTTTTGGTCTTTCCTTGTCATATCTGGTTTCATTATGAAAGCCTCAGATTAACCACAGTTGGAACATGCCAAGATCCTAAACTAACTTCAGACCTTGGTTTAATGTTCAGACATACAAAGAGAGAGAGAGAGAGAGGATGGATTGTGTGGAGGGGTGAAAGGATGTCATTTGCAAAAAATCATCATCATCATCATCATCATCATCATCATCATCATCATCCAACTGGCCTAGATCTTCTACTTAGTGTACCAGATATTTGTAATATGCCTTTAAAATCAGTTTATTTATATACTCACATTCAATAATACTCAGGTTTTACTATGGATATTATGAACCTTGAATATCATTATAGCTTTCGAACATCAACATATTTTTGCTTTAATATGAAAAGTGACAGAGATAATAAAAAATGTGAACTAGTACAATTTCAATACAAATATGTTAAATAACTAATGTTCTTGTTAGGTAATCGCTCATACAGATCATATAATTAGACTATTTCATTCCATACTGTGATGATGATTATGTTTATGTCATGTAGTAGCAAACTATATTTCATAAAGTCTCGTAAAATATATGAGTTTGTAGAACTATGTTTTCTTTTTTTAAAAAAAAAATCTGTCAATGGATGATCCAAATTAACATTTTGGGATTGATTGTCATCTCAATAAAGATAAGCAATATTTTAAATGTGAAATTTTAAAACAGAAAGAAAAAAAAATTCTCTCACCTTTCTACTGAATTAAAACACTTGAAAAAGAGTTTCCTGCATATATTGATGGTAGATTCTACTGAAACTGATTAGCATACAAAATATAATTGATTATGACTTGTTCACTTCCTTTCTAAAAGCTGTGAGAATGGTAAGGTTTCAGGAAACAGACTAGAACTTGTTTTTAAGGCAATTACAAGAGTATTAAGCATACATGTTCCATGGTTTAATTCCATGGAGCAATTATTATCTTATTCTCTGTTTCAAAGTGCCAAACTGTGTATCAGTTGCGTTAGGTACAGATTCCAGTTACTTTGGCAACTAGTCTAATACAGATACATTACTTAATCCAAGTTACTGCTAAACCATGGTTTGATCCCTTAATATTTTGGTAATACCCAACTATACAGTAAAATCGTGGTTTAGCTTGTTGAGATAATCTCTGTGCCTATGGAAGACCTAGAGAGATGTCAACAAGACCTGCTTGTCCCCCGTGAGCAGAGAGGCTGGAGAAGTATAAAAGGCCACTCAACCAAGGTATGCATAGCAAAGATTCAGTAGCTAGCCGTAGATACAAATGTGCGTGCATGCCTCTGTTCCTGCCATGAAAAGGAATGGCAGAATCTTGGCAGAGTGCATCAGAAATGCTGTGCATGCAAAAAGCTCTGTGGATTGGGGCTGGTGAAGAATGCAGTACTAAACCTGGTCCTCTTTGTGTGGTCACTCTTCACCTTCTGCCACTGTAGCCTTGTTAATGATGGAAGATCCAAGAAAGAAAAAAAATAGGGAGAAAGACAGAAAGCACTTCTGTAATAACAATAATCCTTTACCCTTCTATAGCACCTCACATCCGAGGATCTCACAGTGCTCCCCAGACATAAATTACGCCTGTGAGGTAGGTAAGCGTTATTATCCCCATTTCACAAAGGCACAAGAGGCTTTAAAAAAAGCTTCATATATGACCTCTGATTTGAGTGCCTGTTATGGGACACTTGCAGCCTAAGCTTATGTCTATCCACTCAGTAGTAAGTTATACTGGATTTCAAAGAAGTTGCCCCTGTTTAAGTGTGCCGAGGACTGCAGCCTCCTTGTTCAAGGCCATAAAAGCACTGAGTTTTGTCAAAAGGTGCTAGGACACGGGGATTAAAGACTCCCAAGTCACTGTGCTGGCTGGCTTGAACTTTTGTGGTTGCCATATTTGAACTAACCTAATTTGGAGGCTTCCTACTTCTGATGGGTGGGCCAGCAGGTATTTGTTTCTCCTTGTCCAGCAGTAACTGAGATGAACCACCTTAGAAAAAGAATTGGTTAAACATGCTTGGTAAAATGAGCCAAATTCCTAGGTTTCCCAATGTAACACTACTGCTATAAAAACAGCACTGGCTGCCAGTTAGTTTTGGGGTGCAGTTCAAAGATTAGTTATCGTCTTTAAGCACCTATATGGCTGATGGCCTGGATATGTCTGAAACTACCTCTTCGGTTGATTCTGCCCATCCAGTAAGATCAGGAAGAGAAGGTTTGCGTCTGGTAAGAGAAGGGTCCCTCTCTTGAGGGAATGTCATCATCTTGGTTTTTCTAGCTTTTGTGACTGCCAGGTTCTTGGCTAATAAATCATCCATGATTGAGAATAAGAAGAGTGAACATTTAAACCGGCTCTGTTTTCCAGCGAATCCGAGCAACAGTGAATAGCCAGGAACAGAAGAGGTTATTGATGGACTTGGACATTTCTATGAGAACAGTAGACTGTCACTTCACTGTCACGTTCTATGGTGCACTATTTCGAGAGGTATGCCTTATGACCTTCTCACCCCTTATCTAGGATATAGAAAACTATGTTAGATTAGCTGCATGCTTATTTAGCCTGGGAGTGGGCAACCTACAGTCCTAGGGTAATATGCAGGTTTCCAGGTAATTTCAAAAGACTTCTGCAAGAGATCAGTTCAGGCTTCCCATCCCTTCTCAATAATTGCTGCTTGAGAAAGAGAAGAGTCACATCCAAAAGGAAAAGAAAGGAGTCCAGACAAACAATGAGTGTCTCACTCATTTTTGGCTTTTCACTCACCTACTTCTTGTATCAGCCTTGTCCAGTGTGTGGTTCCCACAGATTACTCTTGAAGAACTATAGTCCTTCATGGAGGAAAAAAAAAAAGATTATCTCTTCTGATGTAGCCTAGTATTTTTTGTTGTGACTGACAGTGGTTCCTAGTTTTGCCCTTCATTCGACAATTGATTGGATCAAATAATTCATGAATTTTAGTTACTCAAATAAATTGTGTCCCATCCTACTATTTAGTATGTCTTACAGCAACTAAAATATTGCAGTGTGTAATTACTCAAGATTATTCAGAGGAGGTTTGAACCTTCTTGTGAAAAAAGATGGGCTGCTTTAAGAACTAGCAGAGAGCTGCTGTGCTCACATAAGGTCCAAAGCACTTATTTAAATCATTTGCAAATTGTGCACAATCAGTTGTTGAAGTGAGACTCCAGTAGACAAATCAGTGGATACAAAATATCTTCAGTATATACAAAAACAGGCACAGACAGAAAGTTCTGAACAGGAGGGTTTACTATAGTAAGCCCAATCACAGCAAAAAATTCATTTGACCTAGAAGATGAAAAGTTGCTGGAATAGTATGTGTTTTCATCAAACAATGAAAAACAGCAAAGGAGGTATTAGAAGGATGTGTAGTCCCTTTTTATGCACTATCAGTGTGGGAATCATTGCACTAAAGAAGAGTTATGCTATTGGCATCTCTGCAAGACATTAGTTGGGCACCATTAAATGTGGTCATCTTAGTTTACCAGACTTTGACGCTAGACTTTTAAAATAGCAGGGTGAGGGGTTACTTACAAAATGTTAACAAAAAAGCTTGGCTGCCGGTACTTGAAAATGGCAGAAGTGTACTGTATCTTACATCCTTTTTAGAAACAATCAATTAAACAGTGGTTTAAAAGGTAGACCTCCCTCTAGTTTAACTTCATTGATCAAACAGAGTTTCTATCTGACAAGCAGCTTGTAAATGATTTATTTTCTCTTTGTACTGGTGTCTAATTTCTGGTGCCTCTTCTCCACACCTCTGTTGCCCATTGCTTCAATCAATCAGTCAGTCCATCAAAAAAATTCATATTCTACACAACAGGAAAGGAACCTTTAACACCAGTATTCTAGATTTGGGTTTATTTTGGCAGGAAAGGATAACTGTAAAAACTGATTTCTTGCTTCTCTTTTCTTATACAGTATAGATTGGAATATCTTTACATAATCATGATGGAATTAACATGGGCCAGAATAATCCTTCAGAGAGCTGTGGTGGTTTGCTTAGCAAACATGTTCTCTTCCTTAAGGAAGTTTCATTTTTGGTGTTTTCTGAGTTCCAGAAAGGGTCAGTGTTGAAGTTGCTTCTTAAAATAAATTGTTCAGAAAGTGGCAGACATAACTTGCCACTTAGATGGGAAGTTTAAAGTTGCAGAGATTCAAGCTGTATTTCTCCAAATCCTGTCTTGTCCTGAAATTGCAGCACCCGCAGGTCACCCTAAAGGCTTCAGTGTGTCATAGGAGGCCTTATTATGAATCTAATGCAAATTAATAAGAAAACTCTGGAAGGCAGTGCATATATGCTTTGGTGAATCTATGTTTTGGTGGCAGATACTGGTCAAAGCTCATAGTCACTTATGTGTTCCCCCTTCACCCACTCCCATTTCTGTAGGGAGATGTCTGGATTTGTATGGAATTGATGGACACATCACTGGACAAATTCTACAAGCAGGTCATTGACAGAGGCTTGACGATTCCTGAGGATATCCTAGGAAAAATAGCTGTCTCAGTAAGTGCTGTGCTTTTAAAAAATTGTAATCCTCTTCCAAAAGGGATTTAACATCTTTCCCAGCTTTGCAGATCATTTTTGTTAAGGAACGGAATCTTAGAAGGAGCTAGAGAAAGAAAATGCAAGTAGTCCTCACTTACCAACAGTAATTGGGACTGGAAATTCCTTCGTTAAGTGACATGGTTGTAAGCTGAAAAACCAGATAACCATGTTGCTTAGCAACAGTAGTCCTGGTTGCTGTCATTAAGCAAGGTTCTCACATAACTGCAACTTCTGATTTCCTGCCGACGTCCCCACTGACTTTGCTTGTGGGAAGCTGGTAGGGAAGGTAGCAAACCGTGATCACATGACCATGGGGATGCTGCACTGGCTGTAAGTATGAGGTCCAGTCATAATACCACTCATTCAGTGCCATCGTAAGTTTGAACGGTCACTGAACAAGTGGTCATTAAATGAGGACCACCAGTATGTTGCTTTTTAAGGGATTGCTTCTGTTAATTAGTAAGCTAGATATTGAAGATAAAATTTGGCTCAGGCCTTAGCCTGCCTGCTTCAAGCATGACCCACTTTAGTTCAAATCCAAGACAGAAAATTGTCTGCCAGGTGTTAGATAAGCTGTGCAGGGTTTTCTGCATTAAATACCTCGACGCTCTGAGAATTTTTTAAAAGATTGTCTATAATTTGTTTACTTTGGGGCAGAGTTTCATGAAATTTGAAGGCATCCCTATTTGTTTTGTAAAAGTAAAAAATAAACCCCAAACCTAAAAAAACTACCCCCGCCAAAAAAAAAAAAGGGATTGTGTTTATGTTTTGTTTAGTTGTCTCCAGTTGACGTTCTTATTATACCTTTTCCAAAAGCACCATGGCCAAAAGTGAAAAAGAAAACTCTAGGTTGGAGGCTAGAGCTGTCAGTCACAGAGCTATACTTCCTCCTCTCCTTTCCTCATATCTCTAAGCAGCTTGGAGGGAAATGTAATTATTTGGTTTTACTAGTCTGTCTGTCTGCAGTCTGCAGCCTCTTAAACCCTTGAGGCAGGAGAAAGGTTTTGGGTGCAGCCTGATCTGCTTTGAGTCAGTTCACAATCTGCCTCATTAAAAAAAAAAAAAATCACTTGAGAATGGTCTGCATCAAAAGCAGATACACAGAATTATTATACAGCTGTATTCCTTAAACATTTCCTGAAATACGTTAATGGAAGTAGTGGCAGTATTTGTGATAATGGTGGTAGGGAAGATACTGTTCTCATGAAAGGAAAGAGTGAGCTCAGGACCAAATTAGATACAACAAAAATCTGTTTAACCTTTTGACATTTTTTTGTGTTTATACTGAATGGTAGCTGACAATAGGGGCTGCATATTTTATTGCAACCTTGCTCATGAGAGAGGGGAATTTAACTTTTCACCTATCAGCCATGCTTTGTAACCAACACTCCCCTCATTCCCCAGCTCTTTCTCTTCTGCAGGTGAAAAATAAACACACGGATCCTTACAGTAAAAATATTTGATCCATTGGAAGAGGCTTGGAATTCAGTCAGAAATGTTTCTCCATAAAGATGCAGAAAGGTTGGGTAGATTCTGGCCCTTGGAAAAAGGGCTGATTATATCAGCCTTTAGTTTGACCATGCTGCTAAGGCTGTTTGGAAGAACAATGAGTATCATGAATCATGTTTTATTACCTTGGCTGCATCTGGCTCCATTATATTGCAGGCTCAGCATTCTCCTGCCTGTTAATTACCAAGATGCCCAACCCTAGACTGTCTCTACCTGAGGTTAAGTGTTGAAAGGAGGGTGAACTTGTGGCCTGGACTCTGGAGAAAGGAGTGCAATAATAAATATTTCTGCTTCAGCAGCTACAGCTCATTCTTGTGTGTCTTGGTTGTGTGTTTCAGATTGTAAAAGCATTAGAACACCTACATAGTAAACTCTCTGTAATTCACCGAGGTAAGTATGAGCTATGTGGAATTCTCTCACATAAAGTCTCAGCTCTGAAAGAGGGGACAGGGCACTGCGTTCAGAGATCTGCGTTAAGGTGACTTTAAAACACAGCTGGGCAACCCAGGACACACAGCCATTTGCATCTCCCCCCTTTTTTTCCTTTGCTTTCCAATGCCATCAACATTCAGCTCTGAAATGCCATGGTTTTTGTTTGTTTTAAAGAAGCAAAATCTTTCATTTAGCTGCCTGGAGTTCAAAGCGAACAATAAAGAAAAGCCCTAGCCAAACATTTTGACCCAGCCCCCTTCCCTATGGGAATGTCATTGCGGCCCTCCGGCACTGGGCAGCAGTGCTTTTGCATAATAGTAGCTTCCTGTTTTCCCAGATTTTTTTTTAACCTAAAGCCTTTGGGCAGACAGTGTAATGCCATACTGTTATTTTAAGGTGAATGGTTTGTATTTATCATTTGGAATAAAGGTTCTTTACCTTGCTTGTCTGCAGTGCTTTATCCCAGAAGGACTCACCAGAGGTTCAGGGGCACCTTCCTGAGCAGCAGGGGTTGGGCTCTAGGAGAGCAACTAAAATCAGGCCAAGTTTCTTCTGACTTAGGGGACAAACTGGTCCGTGTGCCTTGAGCAATCAGTAATACAATTAAAATGCTACATGTTGTCCTCTAGATTGTAACTGGGAATCGTGCCTCACTGCATTTCATAGACAAGTATGAAGTCTATCTCTCGCTATCCAAGCTGGAGATAATTTCATTGCCATAGCTTAATGAATGCATAGGTACCAAATCAAGAGCCAGATTTGGTTTCAAAGCTCTGTGAAATGCTCCCTTGCCTTAGTGCTAATCAAGGGTTCTGTTTGTCTGTGAATCTCTGGCTAGGCTTCACAATAATGTGGTGGACTTTTTGCCTATATTGTGCTAAACTATAGGAAATACGCTTAACTGGCACCTGCCATCTTCTCCTTCTGAATGCTGTACTAGATGGTGAATCCAAAATGGGTAGATTAAGCTTTATGATTGTCATGATCTCGAACCAGTGGTTATATACAATGTTAAGCAAACCAGTATTGTAGATTTACTACATAGAGGGAGGAGGCTGCAAGCATGTTCATGATGTTCATACAGGTAGCCCTCACTTACCGACTGCCTTGTTTAGCTCAAAGTTATGATGGTGTAAAAACCAGCGTTGTGACCAATCCTCACATTTACAACCGTCGCAGTGTCCCATGGTCATGTGATTGCCATTCACAACTGGCTTGTGACAAGCAGAGTTAATAGAGAAGGCAGAAGTAAAATCATACATTGCAGTCACATGATGTTTCGCTTAGTGACTGGCACTTTCCTTAATGACCAAAGGGGAAGTGAGGTCGTAAGCCTGTTGCACTCACGTGATTTTCCACTTAGCGACCACAGCACTTAGTGACCGAGTTGCCGGTCCCAATTGTGGTTGCTAAGCGAGGACTACCTGTATTACCATGTACTGTAGCTTAGCATGACATGTGCCATTTGTTAGTGCATATTAGAGGGCCACTGTACTATAGTGTTTAAGAAGTTGGATTATGAGTGAGGAGACCCAGGTTCTAGTCCATCCTCAGCCATTGAAACTCCCTGGCTGAATTTGGCTAGTCTCTCAGCCTAACCTACTTAACAGGGTTGTTGTGGGAAAAAGTATAAGTGAGTGTTATGTATGACACCTTGAGCTCCTGAATGAAGGGCAAGATATCAATCTAATTAATTAATTAATTAAATGTCAGTGTTTAACCATTATTCAGTTTTGCTCCATGGAGGGAAGGAACTTGGAAAGAAATTATGTCTTCTCAGTGCTAATTTCTAGGCTTTTCATCATGGTTAATACATAGCTAGAAGTATTTCCCTTTCTGTTTGACCTCCATTAGTTTTTCCTCAACATAAATTAATAGCAGAATTATTGGTTGGAATAAACGCCACTTAGACTATAGCCTAAGGAAAAATATGGTTTTTTTGTGTTTTCTGGATCCTCTTATTTTGAGCCCGCAAATAAATGGTATGTTGCTTTGGGTGCCCTCTGCTGGTAACAACCAATGTTTGCCTGCTTGTCTTTTTACCATAATCTACAAAAAAGAAAAAAGAAAAGTATTTACAAGAAATGACATTCCGCTGTAATTTATTTTGCAGATGTCAAGCCCTCCAATGTACTGATTAATACACAGGGACAAGTGAAAATGTGTGACTTTGGAATTAGTGGGTACCTCGTTGATTCTGTGGCTAAAACAATGGATGCTGGCTGCAAACCTTATATGGCAGTAAGTGCATTGAATTGTGAAACCTTCAGGGCAAACTGTCACTTCACTTTTTATGCACACAGTGACAGGTCTTTGCTTTGTTTTATTAAATTTTGAAAGATGTATGTTCTTCCTTTCTAACATAGTCAAGGTTGTCTTCCATCTGAATAGCAAGAAAACACCATAGTAACAGCAGAACTATCAGAAAAATTAGAAAGCAGTAGAAGAATAAAGGTGTAAAGATTCGAGTTGGTGAAAACTTGTTCGAATGCCATTGTACTCATCTTGTGAAATGAAGTAACAGTGAAGTAGCTGTTCTGCTCTAGAGTGCCATGATTGAAATGATTGTGTCTCAGATCAGAACCTACCATATTCTGTCAACAGAAGGATCTGAAATAGAGTCTCACAAGATGATTTTAGAGAATCTTGCCTCCTAACACCCATTTCTAGCCAGTGATGTTGACCAAGTTCATAATTACCTGGTTCAGAATACAACTTTCCTCAGCTTGTAATGTTAAGACATGTAACAATCATTACCTCAAGTTCTTTTACAACAAACTTTAAGTGTATACTTTGACAAACATGACACCAACAACCACCTTGGGTCCCATGCCATCTAACCAGTTTTCATACCTGCACTGAAATTGAGACATGGGAAAGGATTACTTGGAACTGTTTATTCCCCACTCTCCAAAATAGGAAGAAGACTGGGGATTATTATTATAGGCGCAGAGTTTGCAAAACATGTTAAACCATTCTGGCTGGCTGATGTGCTGCTTTCCTGCCATACACCCAGCCATATGATTCTTTGTTGGTTTCCGATTCAAGTAAGTGCTAACTGCAGATGGTGATCACTCTAGGTTTAGATGGTACACTTGACCTTACAAACGCTGCTGCAGTAAGAACAAGGAGGCAGCACGCACATTCACTTTAAGCAAGCAGAGTAATTTAATGTATTATTCAAACCAGAATCACAGTTTTGACTATGCACAGACAAGCTGACACATTCCCCGGCCTTTCCTTTTCAGAGTCAGTAAAGCAGCTGGGTTGGCCTTCCCTTTGGAGAAACCTGAACACAGGGAGAGCGAGTACTATGTTCTATCATGTCATCGTGTTCTTTGTGCCTTTACAACCCCAAAGAGCACGTTCATTTAACATTTATTCCCCCAGCCCAACCTTGTCATCAGGTTAGACTGCTCAGATGAGGAGTGTTGGACTGTGTTGCACTACAGTGCAATAGGTGCCTTTGAGCAGTGGTGTGGCACTTTCTCAACCTTCCTGAAGGGGGAATATTTGTGGCTAGGCCTGTGCATTAACTGTTCACATGGGGACTGGTAATTACAGCCTCTACCATGGCAATTAAGGTCAGTCAAAAATTGTTGAAACCTGATACTCTGAAATGAAAATGAGATACAGCATATTTAATTGGAAATAAACGCACTTGAACTTCTTAGTAAACATATTTCAGACAAAGTTGAACAAATATGTCCGAAGGATGTTGATTTTTTGAAGACTTTAGAGACCTAAGAGCAAACTTGGAGAATCTCATATTCCTTGGGAACAAGGAAGTTGTACAATCTATTAGCTTGTCTGAGGAAATAGGGAAGCAATCTGATCTGAGTAAGCTGGAGCTTAGATGAAAGTAATTCAGTACTGTTTTGTAAGCCTTCTTCTAGTTTTTATTTTCTTGATTTTCTTCTATGTTCTTAAATTCCCTCCCATTATCTTAATATTAAATGCATATGCTGATACTTTTACTACTAGAATTATAGTACTGTATAAGCATCTAGTTCATTTCTTGTTGAAATATATATACAGTACTGTACAAAAGTTTTAGGCAGGTGTGAAAAAATGACTGTAAAGTAAGAATGCTTT